AGAACCCATGTAAAGTTTTCAATTGTCTCACCACTTATTAACGCCGATCCGACAACAACCGAAGCTTTGTGATTGTCAACCGCCAAAAAGGGAACAAAAATCATCGCATGCCTATTAGGTAAAATAAAATATTAGAAAAAACTGACGAGTACCATACATAAAAGAAACAGATTCAACTTGAAAATCTTACTTGTTGGTGCGAAATGTCCCGTCAAACGAAATTACATCCMCAAATTCTTTGTAGTTAACTCTAGCGACCTCATCTGCCCAGRAAATGGCACCCAACTCCTGATCATTGCACTTGTACTCGAAAAAATAACCGGGAACAATATCTCGTCTATTGGATAGTTTATTGATCAACATCTTTGCATCCTTTTTACCAACACACGCAACTGCATCTCTCTTGAAATTCTTAAAGTCGATCTAAGAACATCGATTGTGTTCAAACCCACCATTTAATGCAGTTTGTATACGGTGAGCCCTAATCGCACCAACTTTGTAGCTCGAGCTATTCAGGACATTTTTGTAATCCATATACTTCATTTGTCTATTTTTCCTCGAGAAATATCGATCATTAGTATTGAATAGCGCATGATTATGTGCCTCAACAAACTCATATATCTCGTAACCGGATTTATCCTTTTTCAAATGGACTTTTATGCATGCTATTTACATCCACAACGTTTAAGGTTCGTGTTACGATATCTCCTTTCACCAGACTGCATATCCATCGAATCAAAAAACTGTTTGTTTGGTGTTCCCTCCCTATTACATACAAACCATCTTGTTTGTATGTCTCCATTCTTATTTGTTTTTTTGGCGTGCARCCGAACATCAAATCCAGCATTGTTCGCGTATGCCCTATACATCTTCTCCGCTTCATTTATAGTTAAGAAGTGTGAGTTGRTCTTTGGTTTAAGATCGTCATCAACCTTGGGGATAAAAAACTGATTTCCTTGAGAACACTCCTCGACGGCGTACTCCGGTTCATGTTCTGATATTGCAAGAATAGGAACACCTGTTGATATAATCATATCTTGTAGCATCACTGAACAGTGTGCACCTTTCGTTCAATGAATGAAATATGAACATGGGAACACACCAACAAATGAACGAACTAACCACACGAACACACATATGTGAACAATTGGACGTTGATGATGGTTTATCGTAAAATAGCAGGCTAACATGTTAACATGTACATACTCTAATTTCATGAAAAAATGTGGAATGATGTTATTGTAAGACGTATATAGACACGCTAAGAGATGCTATTAGCCACCCAATAATATGAACAATTGCAAACATCTGGAACACACCATGAAAAAACAAAAATTAAAAAATTTAATGTAAAATTTTCAAAAAAAAAAAGACCATGAATGGATGGTAAACATAAACATGGACCATATGTATATGTACATATATGAACATGAACAGGAACCGTATGTTGACATTACCAACTGAACAAGAGACATGTATTAAATACATGTATATTGACATTACCAAACGAACGAATGATGAACATGAACATGAACGTAYGTACATGTATGACGTATATAAACACGTAGTTAACGATTTTTATACGTTAGTTGAAAATGCACCATGGTAATATAATATCAAAATAAAATAGTATGAGATGAACCTTAAAAAACACATGACATCGTAATGAACATTTTTTCGATCAAAATGAATCTTAAAAAAAAAAAAAAAACTATTACCAAGACATTCGGTTTGGTTGATTTCATGACTTCCCGACCTCGAAATCGGATTGTCTTCATAAACCATTGTAATCTCCACGTTGTTGTCGATTTCTTTTCCTTTGCGTGAACAAGATATGAACATAAATGAAATGCAACGTGGTGATAGAATATCATAGAAATATTATGAGATGAATAATAAAAAAACACAACACATCGACAACGACATGCTTCCGAACAATATGAATATAAAAAAATTAAAATCTTTTACCAAGACGTTTGGTTTGATTGATTTCATGACTTCCCGACCTCGAAATCGGATTGTCTTCATAAACCATATCTATATGTACATATATGAACATGAACAGGGACCGTATGTACATGTACATGTACACGGGCAAATGAATGAACAAGAGCCATGTATAAAAACATGAATGTTGACATTAAAAAAATAAACGAATGATGAACATGAACATGAACATGAACGTATGTATATGTATGACGTATATAAACACGTAGTTCATGATTTTTATACGTTAGTTGGAAATGCACAATGGTGATAGAATATCAAATAAATAATATGAGATGAACATTAAAAAACACACGACATCGTAATGAACATTATTTCCACCAATATGAATCTAAAAAAAATAAAAAAACTATTACCAAGACATTCGGTTTGGTTGATGTCATGCCTTCCTGACCTTGAAATCGGATTGTTTTCATAAATCATTTTAATCTCCGCATTGTTGTCGATTTCTTTTTCTTTGCGTGAACAAGATATGAACATAAATGAATTTTATAATTAGTTGACCACTCATAGTTAACGTTTTTTATACGTGAGATGAAAAATCACCATGGTGATAGAATATCATAGAAATATTGTGAGATGAACAATAAAAAAACACGACACATCGACAACGACATGCTTTCGATCAATATGAATATATAAAAAATTAAAAATCTATTACCAATACGTTCGGTTTGATTGATTTCATGACTTCCCGGCCTCGAAATCGGATTGTCTTCATAAACCATATGTATATGTACATATATATATACATATATGAACTAATGATCATCATGAACATGAACGTATGTATATGTATGACGTATATGAACACGTATGTATATCAAATAAGTAGTATGACGTGAACATTAAAAAACACACAACATCGTAATGAACATTATTTCGATCAATATGAATCTAAAAAAAATAAAAAAACCATTACAAAGACATTCGGTTTGGTTGATTTCATGACTTCCAGCCCTTGAAATCGGATTGTCTTCATAAACCATTGTAATCTGCGCGTGGTTGTCGATTTCTTTTCCTTTGCGTGAACCAGATATGAACATAAATGAATTTTATAATTAGTTGACCACTYGTAGTCAACGATTTTTACGCTTGACATGAAAATGCACCAAGGTGATAGAATATCATAGAAATAATATGAGATGAACAATAAAAAACACAACACATCGACAACAAAATTCTTTCRATCAATATGAATATAAAAAAAATAAAACTCTATTACCAAGACGTTCGGTTTGGTTGATTTCATGACTTCCCGACCCCGAACTCGGATTGTCTTCACAAACCTTTGTAATCTCCACGTTGTTATCAATTTCTTTTCCGTTACRTTTATCCATATTAGCTTGATCGACGCCRAATATCATTACTACCGTGTTTCTTATTCGATTTAAAACTCATACAAAAGTGAACATGGAATATAAATACTAAAAACAAAGATATTAATTAAATGAATGATGATTTTTGGGGATTTGATTTTTTCCTACAATATTGAACATGTAATTCGTATGATTAAAAAGAAATATATTAMTTAAATAAATGATTATTTCTTGGGATATGATWTTTTGTAACCCCCCATTAATGGTTTGGGGGTTACATATGTGACCAAATGACTAAACTACCCTTGGAAGTAAAAWTTGGAYAATGCATTAACCTACAATAATGAAGGAATTTGATTGGTTGAGATAGGTGAACAAAGTTAACACAAAATGAACGGTTATCAATTGATCTTGGCCCTATATATATATATATATATATATATATATAAAGTTTAACCAATTGGCAGTTTTCACCCCCTTTAAGTCTATATTCTCAACTTTTACGTCAAATTAGATATAAACTTATTTTTGACGCAAAACTCGTCTGAAGTACAAGTTGGTA